AAATTTCCGTCATTTTTCGATTGTTAATATTACTACTTGTTTTCCATAAACCCATGCATTCTACACTTTTATAATGACTTTTGTTATGTTATATCATAGTGATATTATCACTTGTGGCTTATGAAGTACTACATTCTGTGATGGAGATTATATTTCACACATGGAGAAGTAAATTGAATAAATTCTGCACAAATTCAAGGGAATTGTAAGTTGCACGATTTTACTGTTATGATATTATAATCACAGGGTTATCAGTTGAGTCTAACGGAGCAGTCGATGAAGCCGTGAAGGTTGAACGGTTGTGGTATCCAGATGGACGTTTTCTAGAAAGGGAAGATGTAGATGGGAGTAACACATTCAATAGTGGGTAGGGAATTTTTTCAATATTTTCTAGTTCATGAGCTTTTTTCTTCCACATAATTTCAAAGTATATTAAAATGAAGCGAATTTATTCATAGTATCTATCAAGATATGAAATAAACCTTTCAAAGAAAATTCCTGTATTCTGTGGTGGCATGTTATATAGTTCCAGGAAAAAAATTCTGCCGATAAATGCTCTTCTCATCGATGGTGTATGTCAGCAAATTCTGCGGCTCAAACTTTCTGAAAGTCATATGGTTTTGTACAAAATTATGCTGTTTTTCAATCCGGGTTAGTATTTTCATCCAAATCTTTTTATTTTTGCTATTCTTTTTCAGTGAAGGCAGTTTTTATCAAAATATAATTGTTGCATTTTTCTGAAAGGAAATCTGAACGGTATTAAAAATTTCGGAATAGTTTCACATGTAATATTTTAACCTGCCTTTTCTATTATGCTTCAAGTTTCAAGTGATAGTGATTGAATGAGACATGTTAGTTGTAGAAGTTAACTTTCAAGTCTTGCATCTGCTGTTTTCGTTACAGATGCTGACGGATTGTCTGTAAGAGGAAGAGTAACTGTGGGAATGGAAAGGACAAAACTTTTGAATTATCTATATGCGCAGATCATACGTGATCGTATAGGACGACAAGCCACCGAGCTCTATTCTAACATGCTCATGATGACATCTACTCTTATCGTTAGTTTTCTTTCTCTTCCGGAATGTAAATAATTGGGCATATGTTTAAATGCTTTTTTAAATTTTATTTCTTATGCTGGTTTACATTTAGTTAAGTTTCAAGTTTTCTTGATACATCACTTTGGTACATTTGAAATATATCTTCGGAAAAATGTCTTAAAAATTGGGGAAAAGAAAATAAACGTTTATAAAATTACGTTAGAACAAGGAAGCAACCAGAAAGACATTCAAAAAGCTAACTTTTTTCCTTTTTTTTGTAATCTTGACCCTTCCAGTGCTCATAATTTTTATAATCAATCCTTTTTTACTGTGGCCATTCCCTGACGATCATTTGGTTGATCTTTGCTGTCTTAAATTTCGTAATAGGTTTACTTTGCAGAAATTCGTGCGCTAAAATCAAGGGAGAGATTTCGTAGATTTATTCTAAACTTTTCTTCAAGTTGTGAAATTTAAGCTTACATGAGGCGAAATTTTAATTTACAGCAATTCACGATAATCTTAATTACAGCGTGTTGCCTCGTATTTGAAACGTACCTTCGATATATCACATATATTTGGTCCTGCGGACGACTTGATTGATCAGCTGATTATTGTTGGCTTATGATTATATTCATGTAAAAGAAATATGCTTTACTTTGTTTTTTGTCTTTGGTTTTGTCAGGACCAGGTCACTTTAGCTATGTTTTTGGTACCACTACTATATTGTTGTCACTAAAATGAATTAGTTCACTTGACCCATCGTTTAAAAAAACGATTGAAAATTTGGGAAACAAATTTTGCACTACATGGTTTCCCATTTTCATCTATTGGAATACCGGTAGTTTTGTTTGCAGTTTGTTTTTGTTTTTCCTGAATTCCAGGTGGATGTTTTCTTTTTTTTTTGCAATTTATGACATTTATTTTCACCCCATACTTTTTTCCCTAAACATAGAACGGAACATATTGAGAATCAAACGGGTTTCTGAACTGTATTCTGTGTATGTCCTCAACTCAGGTTGTTAAATTTAGACAAATTTGTTACTGGTATTATTCCTTGTATTACTGCTACAATAACCGTTACAACAGCATCAGCTACTATACTAGCACTAGCATTATTTACTACTTTTCTTTTGCTGTCACTGTTACTACTACTACTACTACTACTACTACTACTGCTACTACTACTACCTACTATTATTATTACTCCGACTACTATACTGCTGCTGCTGCTAATAACTGTTATAACTATGTTGCTTCTTTCAATTTGGTAGTATGATGATTTGTTTCGTTATCTCATTAGTTGGGTTTTACCACGAAAAAGATAACATCGGTACTGCTTATGTACTTTACTTTCATTGCTAGTGGGATGAAGGGCTGTCTCGGTGATTCTATAGAATCTTTTCCTACATTTCGTCTACGGTCTTTTTTTTAGAAGATTTCCGTTTTTAGGATTGTTTTTAAAAGGAATTTCTTCCATTACAGAATAATTATGGGCGAGATGTATGAATTTAAACTAGTACACTGAAATCTTTTCATTTTAAAATTTTCACCAGTTCCAGGGACACACATTTTTTCCTTTCTTGACATCGAGTTCTACATGTGTATTTCGGGAATGAACACGATCGTTTATTGTCGTTATTTTGATTTATTTCAGTATCTTTTTTTTTCATATATTTATTTTCTCGTTTCTTTTTGCTTTCATTTCTCATCAATATTTGTTTCTTTCTCTCGGGGATTGTTCCTGGGTTTAGTTCAAATTACTTAGTGTTACGAAGTCCAAGAAGACATTCATTGAATATTAGTCACCTGGTGTTCTAAATAGTAACTACCTCTAGTGTACAAATTTTACTCATACGAAAGCTTTCAAATAACTTAAAAGGTTTTGGAATTCGATGATCACTTCAAAACATTACAGCAGGAAAAAGAAAAATTGCTACAAATGTTCCTTTTGTTTCTCTATTATTCCTCTGTGATTAAAAATTTCGGAATCCAACGATCACTTAGAAACATCGTAACATGAGAACAGGTCATAAAGTTTTCTTTCCATTAATATATATTTGTTCTCATGATTTTAGTCTTTGTTTTTTGTTTTTACTTACTACTGTTGTCTTGATTTTCGAAATTGACGAAGTCTTCGCTATGTGTTTCAAATTTCCGGTAAATTTTAGAAGTCTGCCAGGTTTTATTTCGATTGGGGAATTCAGTGGAAATACTCGTTGGTAGCTGATATACGAATTTGAATGGAATTAGACAAACTGTCATTGTTAGATCCTTTCAGGTTGATACATTATCAAAGCATTTGCGTTGCACCCAAATGTTTGAATCTTAATCTAATAATGGGAACCAACCAATCGTCGATTATTCGTCCAGTTCGTTACACACACCGTATATGTTTCCATTTTTGTTTTGCCTTATGATCTGGCTATACTAGTGAAACACGTTTACCGAGGATAATTTTGTTTCGTATTCTATGTTCACTCTTCTGCTACCCCCACTTTCATTGTCTTGTTCCCAAATTGTACAATCAAATTGAAATCATGAGGTTGTTTTGACGCGGGTAAACTGTTTTGTATTGGTGAATCATTAATAGCACATGCAAATGGCAAATGCACACTACGCCAACAACCGTATTGAAATAAAATACTGAAGTAACGCTAGGTTATTCAAAGGGAATATAACTTTGCACGAGTACACTAACGAATGTAAAGACTTTGTGAGGGATAAATAGATCTGGGTTTTTTCGAGGTTCGAGGACTGGTATACATGCTTGTGTACATTCTGAGATCTGTTCATCTCAACTGTGCCAGGTTAAAAACATCTCTTCATTCGACTGAAAAACCAAATACAACAACACCGAACATCCGCTATTATGGTAATGCAAGAGAGACGATAAGTTTTTTTGCTTTGCCGTTTCAGAGAATTTTCCATTCCTTCAAAATAACGTACTTTCTCAAAACCACATCTTCAGTTTTGGTTGCAAAATGCCAGGAAAAATGAGGTGCATAAAGGGGGGTGTATATCTAAAAATGCAGAAATAAAGATCCAGGAGACTGCATAATTTCAGTGCATCATTAACTGGGTCCTTACACTTCGAGGGCAAACATTTCCCACAACTAACGAGTAAATTATGAGTTAATGATACATTAACTCCAGTGAAAACGAAATCAAAACAAACAAAACGAAAATCAACGAGAAAAACGAGGTAAAACTTCGGTAAAAATGGTGCAGCATCTCATTCTCTCATAATATAACACAAGGATTTGCAAAGCACCGCTCAAAACAATGAAAAAACAGAAAAAGTTTTAAAAAGGCTCATTTTAAAATTGAGCTTGCATGGCTGTGTGAAAGAAATACATTATCATTTCAAGTACAATAATATACACACCAATTACCCATTGTCTTTGATGAGGAATATAGCAGACAGAAGCACCCTGCAGCGTACTACAATAAACAAATGATTCTTCATAGTGCCAACGCGCTGCAAAATAAAATTCTCGCCGCAAAAAATTTTCAAGATTATTAATCACGATAACAATTTATCCCCACTCGGAAATCATTATTCTTCATAATCATTAATATTATCACTATTATAATTATTATAATAATCATTATTATTACTATTACTACTATTACTATTACTATTACTATTATTATTATTACTATTATTATTACTATTATCATTAATGCTATTATTATTATTATTATTACTATTATCATTATTATTATTACTATCGTTATTATCATTATTATCATCGTTACTATTATTATTATTATTATTACTATTACTATTATCACTACTATTATTATTATTGTCATCGTTATTACTATAAATTCGGAGGAATAACAGACAACAGTACCGATATTTGAATATTTTTAAAAATTTACAAATATAGATTTAGTTATCTTCAAATGCTAGAGAAGAAATTCAGATATTCAAATTGCATGAATAGAGGAATAGATGGAAACAGAGAGAGATAAAGAGGAAAGGGGAAAAACTTGTACAAACTAATGGACTGAAGGGAAAATATTCGAATAACAAGAAAAAAAAAACTATGACGCTGGTCCTAAAAATTACGTTGCCAAAAATCGAACGTTTGTTAATTAGCGCGGTCCTGCACCATTTACTACCTAAATTATGAAAATGAATACGTCAGCAATTTCCATTTTCTTGACTGCTACTTATTACCCGTTAGTTCATTCATCTTGAATACATTTATTCAACGCAGGAAAGTACGAGGTTGCTTTAAAGTTTTATGATTTATCAAACAGTTCGTTAGAAAAATAAAGGAAAAAGTATGTTGTCATCCTAAAAATGTCAGCTCGGACTCCCAGATTTCTGAAGTGCACGATGACGTTAAAATCATAAGATGGAAACACTCCCACGGATATTTTCAAGGATTTGGCAGTCCAGTTACGCGGGCGACATAAAAACACTGACGGACAGATGGCTACACACATATACACATTTCATCTCACAACCATGATAATTTTATTGTTCCAAATCTACTGTCATATTCCACTTTTCATTATTTTCTACTCTCCAATGTCAAAATAGTACGATGGAATTCGGCTGAGAGTAATTTCAGAAATTCTGGCAATAAAAATACCTTTACTGTGCAGATGGCATATTGCCGATTGATGCTAGTATCTCTGCCACCTCCAAATCATTTGGACAGTGTTCCCTGTTGTTCGAGCAAACGTTGTCATAGTTATGCTGCGTCGTTAAATCAGGGAGCTCTTTCTGCAAATCCGGAAAAGTGGGCGCCGGCACGCTTGCATTCTGCAATGCAGCCATAGAAAGCGGATTCCACAACGGCGTGGTGATAGGTGGAGGTGGTACACATAGCCCTGCTGAACTGGACTGCATAGCGAGCAAGCGAATATAATCGAACCACTGACCGATATTCAAATTTAAATCACGACCAAGAAAAGGATTAGGAGGAAAGGTTGCTGGGAAGGAGCAGTTCGGTAAGGTGAACTGAGGCTGCGCCTGTGGCTGCAACTCTTGAAGGTTTTGATGCTGCTGCAGTCCACCATTTGCTGGGATAACTAAATCTGATGACTGCAGCTGACTTTGCGATACTGGAACACCCGCAAGCGTTTTAATATAATTAACGTAACTCGAAAGATGCTCCAACGATACAGGAGGAGGTGATATTTGCTGAACTTTTGACTGATACTGCATGTATGCAGCAGGGTCCAGCTGCGAAACTGCCGTCATCAAGGCAGCATCTGATAACAAAGAACTGAAACTAGGCAAATTCTGTGAAACTGCTCCAGTAACAGGTGCATTCGCCGGTTGAGTTGGCTGTAATGTGTTTAGCATGTCGGGTTTCTGCAACAAGTGTTGGTATATTGCTGCAAGTTTCGCATTTTCCATAGCTGTAGCTTGCCAACTGTCTGTAAGTTCTGTCGTCATAGAGGTATTTGTCCGCGGTTGTGAATTCAGATTTGCTGCAAAGTTCGACTGCTGCTGCGACAGTATCTCTGTGCATAATTTACTTCGTAGCAATTCCGATTTCGCACAGCAGATAGCTGCAGCAAGCTTCAATTTTTCCAATACAGAATCAGATTCGACGGTATTAGGACAATTCGATGGTATTGGGATAGATTCGACGGTATTACGATTCCCACTCATGTTGTCAGCAATTTGGAACTGTTGAGTCAGAAAATCAGAATTAGTTGAGGTGGTAGTTTCTGATTTTATACGAGGTGGTGGAGTCAGTAAAGGATTTCCTGAAAAAATAACAACCACACGTCAGCAAGATGTCAACAGCTTTGTTATCCGTCAATTTCAAGAACTAATATGCATTCACCAACTTAAATATAAAACTATCAATTACTGACAAAAGCAGAACAAAATGAAGTGATTAACATAGTAAGAAATGCTTCTACCATTTTCCTTAAGTCTTGTTTTTCAAAAGATATAACCTGTCCAAACAGCGCCTCCATTATTAATTTGCGGAGTACCTGCAGCGAGTTGCACGTCAACAGTTTTCTTTTGCTTCATTGCCATCACCTCTTCTGTAGGACGAACTGATAATTCGTCAGCTTCCTTGGGTTTCTGAAAAATAAATATTTGCAGTTCAAGAAACAAAAAAAAGTGGCCTACGGTAATGGTTCCCTCTGAAACATGACACTTAAAGTATGTTGTAGAGCCATATGCTCCTGACTTCTCATCTACTGCATAGTTAAAGAGACCAGAATAAGGAAAACCTAGGAAAAGCCAGAAAAAAAAATTACTTTCGTAATTTTATGATGTTCTCTCTGAACACCAGTACCAGCATTAGCTTCAGCATATATTCGTTTTCGCTGAATTAGCATGTCTCCCACGCATTTCTCTCCGAATGAACGCATCATTTCGGAAGCACTCAACTTGACCGACTCATCGACACCATATTTTCGCATAATTGGCACATGTTTAAAAGATCCATCCTCGTCAACGACTTCGTTTTCAACGACAATTTTGGCATCTCCAACGTAATTTTTGATGCCGATGACTTGTTGCATACCAGATGTTTTAAATGAACTCATGTGCTGCTGCTCTGGTCCTGTGTGCGATTTTGGACTTGATGCGATAATCATTTTCTCACTAATGAATGGCTCTACTCGTGCTAAATAGGTGGGACTTTGGTGTCTATTAGAGTAACATGATTGTGCTTCTTTTCCATTAGTCTGACGATGTTGCAGCTCATTTGAATCGTTCAACATAATGAGATCACGTCTGAGATCTTCGAGTTTCAGTCCACTCGAACCTGTTACAGTTTTATTTAAGCAGTGATTTGAAATAAGCGAAAATTCGAAAGCAGAATGAAGTAAGACCGAATTACAAGGTCTTTCAAAGCCAAGACTTCAAAAAAGGGGAAATAACCGGTTCCAAACTGGCAAGAATACATTAGGATTTCTAATCCGAATCTTATCATATTTCGAAAACTGGAACATTCCGAATTTGTAAAGGAAAGAAAAATTTTGACAGAGTCCTTTAATTGTTAAAACTTACTCTACTAATTGACTCTCATTTTGTAACAAATGCGCTACTTTACATTAACTAGTAATCGAATTATATAAAATATCAGAATGTTCTCCTAGAAAATAAATCATTGACAAAGAGAAGTAATCTTTACAAATTAATTTACCTTGAAGCATTTCTTGAACAGGTGTCGTGCTCAAACTCTTTGTTCCATTTCGTGAATATGGAGTGATCTGATGTAACGTATCAGAGCTTAACGCCTGAATTGAGAAACATAAAGCTACCGCAAAATAAAATCTTGTCACCAGGATGCAACATTTAGACTATTTAGATTTGAATACAAAGTGTTTCAATGTAGAACTGTTAATTTTTCTTTAACAAATCAAAAAAATATTCGACAAACGCTGCTTCTAGAATATTGAATATTCAACTAGTACGCTAGTCGTATAAACAAAACGATCAAATTTCCCACAAAAATAAATGCCTTCGAAAGTTTGTTGATACTAACGGATCGATATTCCGGTTCCGAAGGACAGAGTTGCAAACGAGAACGCCCATCTTTTGCAGACTGACGAACTCTGAACGTCGCACCACAGGAACGAAATTCTGGTCGTGACGACACGTCTGTAATTCATATTAACTTCAACCAGCCACCGAGTGGCTCAAGCAAGATGCAAGATTATTTCATGGTTATAACATTAATTCACTCAGAAAACCCATGCATAACATCAAAAAGAACTATCTGCTGCGAATTAACTCCCTTATCGACCACGTGCTGAAAACTCGCTAATCGACCCTGTGCTGAGAGCTACTATCAGGGCCAATGACACAAGAATTTAGTGTCTTATTAAAAATCTTTTCACTATGAAAATAGTTCACGGTATAAAAAAATTATGGTTTACACAGAAATACTACAACTCTATATATTGTCATTATTATTTTAGGAAATGACTTCACATAACAGAAGTTGCAACTTCAGCGTTAAAAAAAAAACAATGGAATTCATATTTGCTCTAAAAAATACAAGGATTCAGCAGTAATAACGTGAATGCCTTACTTTTCGGAGAACAGGGTGCACTACGTGCAAATCTTAGCATATCTTCATGTAATACTTTGTTATCCTCCGTAGAGAACATGGCGATGTCCTTTTTTAAGTGACGACTGTTACCTAGAAATAATAACTTACTCGCTTGGCACTGAGAGACTAGGAAGAAATTATTAAGTATGAATTACCCATTATAATCTTCAACGAATTCCTTCACGACCAAACAATGTGGTAATTAGCAATTTCTGTCTCTATGGGAAGATAAATGCATAACCCTGACGTGACGTACAAAAAGATTAAGCGTTTAAGAAAATATAACTGGAAAGAAAGCAATGTATCAGCTATAATTTTGATTTATTGTATCAGGACTAATAAGACAAAGTAATTCCAGCAGTCCTATTGAAGTAAATAAATTGGAATAAACTGGGAATTGCAAAGCTTGTTATGGTCAATTATCTAACATATTTGGTGTTATATTTATCAGTTCAAGGCCTTTTTTTCCTGCGATAATTGTCCAAAATAGTATAATACCATAACTATGTCGATATTCACGCATAGTATTACCATCATTACAGGAATTGATTACGAGAAACAGAAGTCATAACTTTAGTATTCAAGAAATAATTTTACGGCTTTCAACAGACGTGACAAAACAAAAATTAAATATTAAAAGTGGGGAAGGAATAAACGGTGATGGAATAAGGTATAGGGAACTGTCTAAGTCTAAAGTTAACCTGAAGAAATGTAACTTCGTGGGTGGTATAGCGGAAATATCGCTTCAGCGGGCGGAAATTGTATGTCGGCGGATGGATATGTACCTGAAAGATGATAACCTGTTGAAACGATCAAACTAAAATTAAAATTGTACCAAAATACAAATCCGTACATCACGAAAAATCACGCTAAATGCCGTCCCAAAATTAATAGCATGCCGCAAATCCTACTCTCACCTACCGATCCGAAACAACCGCTCTTGACGTCTCCTATCTCGAAACTGATCCTCGTAAATCCAGACATACCCATTCATACATGCCCAAGCTTCATGCAAATTCCCGGTACATAAGAAATGTGACTAATCACAGATGCAGGAAGTAAGAGGCAATCATATGCAAATTTTAATCGTGAAAGAAATAACACAAAAAGGGTGCAGTAGAAAATGCTTCCAGTACTTCATGCAAATTTTTGACAAATAAATAAGCCCAAAGCGACAGTAAGGAACAGATGGGGATGTACTCTATTATTTGTTAAGAGGACTAAACTCAGAAGATTATGGAGATTTAGAAAACAAATTAAAGAATCCAGAAAATGCATTGTGACTAAAAATTCTCAACCAGTTTTCGATTTCAACACTGCTAAATTCTTCCACGTCACAGACCTGTTCCGTATGATCTGGCCCCACAGTTTCCAACGAAAAGTTACTATTCATTCGAAGGGTCCAACCTGATCTGTTGTTCTGTTATTTAATTCCAGAGCTATATTACGCAATCATTACCGTGTAATTGTTAATTTTAGCGGGAAAAGTTCTCACAGCACACAAAAAATGAAAAAAAAATGCAAAGCGCACCACTCCATATTTACTAGAAAATCAAGAAACCTTTCTGCTAATACAATGAAATAATGATGGTTAAAATCACGAAGAAATTCTTTTCCCATAAATTTGAGGACATCACTCATACCCTTGTCTTCCTTAGGTGGAGAATTAATTCAAAAATGTTCGCGAAATTCATACCTACACAGTAATTAGAACTACCACCTGCATTCGATCTTGCCATGCTGCATCTGTTATTAGTGCCGCTGCTGATGATACTACTACCACCGCTGCTACTGTTGTTGGCGGTAGTGATGCTGCTATTTCCATTGCTACTACTACTACTACTGAAGAAGCTGTTGCCATTATTATTGCTGCCACTACTGCTGGTGTCGCCACTGTTCAATGCCAGGATTTCACACATTTCTGTGTCAGCAATAAACTGTCGATCGGCGGCACGAGAATCTGTTTCAATTCTTTCTATTTCGGATGCTAAAACTCATCTCGTTTTTTCGAGAAAATTTATGCAACATTCAAGCTCCATCATAAACATTCATATAAATTTCCCTGAAACCAACATAAAAAAGGACTCATTTGTAGCCAGCAATACAAATTCGACTAAAACACATTCAACCCTTGCAGGGTCCAACCCGAATTTCTGCAACCATCCATAGTTAATGGAACTAACATGATCCAACATGAATATACCCAGTTACCTTTTTCTGAATAACAAGAAGGGATGTACTGACGTGTACTGTACAAAAAACTTAAATGTCCGATAAATGACCATCTTGCATGATGAAAATAGCAAGAATTGGCATAACCATACGAAAGTAAAATTGAGGATGTCAAATAATGCAAATCACCGTAATTTTTATTGCGTATTTAGTAATTTTATGCAATAACCAAGCATAAGTCCCACCTATTTCCTAAGTTACACGATAGAGAAAGAAAAACAGAACGACTGTAATCTTATTTACAAAAAAAAAAAACTGGAAATTTTACAACGTGCTTTGCTAAATTTTTTGATATCGGAATTACCATGTCATTATTATCTAATCAGTTGCTACAGTGTTGAAATAAGATTACCAACACTAGTTGGTAATATTTTATTCATGATTGTTATGATCTGAAACAGGTAAAAAACATGAGTACCTATAGGAATCACAGTGTACTCAGCAGGTTCTGCATCGTTATCCATTACAAGATTCAAAACTCTGCAACAATGTTCGTGTTAGAATGTAGGTGATTTCAGGAGCAGAGAACAGAAATATAAAAACAGGAAACGCCAGTTGAACAAAAAACATACCAATAACTAAGATGCTCTGTAACAGCAATCACCAGGAACAGGAAAAAAGAATGAGGCCATATTTTACCGATAAAATCACAAAAATCACTTACTTGTTACCCTTTGACAATTTTGGTTTCCTCTTCTTATAAGCCAGTTCGACATTACGCAGAGCAGCAGATGATTCCATTCTCCAAAATGAACCTTTACCAGGTTCTTCCTGAGAGCGTGCGACCTGAAATTTGTTTCAAACCTTTGTTTTCCTCAACTGCCTTTGATTGAAAGTCTTCCAGCAAACTTCTCTGAAAACAAGCCGGCAAAAGTTATAGCAAAAGATGTATAAGCTATAATTTACTGAAATAAGGTCAAATTTTCGAAATATTCAGAAATAAATGGTCACTAACCTTCACAAAATATCGATTCAATGAAAGGTTATGGCGAATTGAATTTTGCCAACCTTTATCGGCAGAACGATACCACGGATAGCGGCTTGTGATGTAGTTATAAATACCTGACAAAGTCATCTGCTGATCTGGTGAACTTAGAATAGCCTGAACGATCAACTGCGCGTATGAATATGGTGGTTTACCATCCGAAGCTTCATAATCTTCTACAAAATTCCCAATCGTAATTAATGAACCAAAAATGGTGAAGTTTTTTCAAAATACCTTTGCAGTTTCGATCAGAATCTGACGTCGGAATTGATGTCGATGATCCAATGCTGACACTAAATATATATTCGTATCTTTACAACAACGCAATCGAAAAAAAAAGGGAGTACAGATTCAAATCTTTAAAAGAAAGGGAAGAATATTTAAGGTTCCTGTAGATACTTCGCTGGTACTTTGTTGCAGTATAAGAGTAAGATAATTTTAGGAGACTGAACACAATGAGTCACTGATCACTTGCTATCTAAATAAAGATCAAAGAGTGAAAAGACAAATCTCGAAACAGCAATACTACATCAAAAATTAAGCGAAATTAAGCAACAGTTAATGAACTTGCTTTGGAAGAACCAAAGAAGTAATGTTAATAAAATGCCTTAAGAGCATAATGAATAAAAACATATCAATCCAAAATAGAATCAAACTATACTTCGCTCCTGCGGAACTATCCGAAGGTGTATGAGTCGATTCGCTGTATTCAGCTGTCGATACACCAGTGTTTTCGCCCGTATTAGGCTTATCGGATAAACAAAATGTCTTGCCTGATTCTGCAACAGCAAATGCAGTTGCTTTTTTTCTAGAATCGAAAGTTAATGATACGTTTACTAGAATGTATTCATATTCGTCTACATTTTCTGAATATAATTTTCCTGCACGATTTCATTGTAATACATGTAACTCGAATACATAAAATTCGTTTTCAGTTTGGAAAATCATGCTTATTCTCTTAAATTTATGAAAGCTAAAACTTCAGTACTACTATCTCGGTTTATCAACTGACAAATCCTACCTTCCATACTCCCAGGAGTGACGCCCTGAGATGAAAGCATAGCCGCCAAGGAAACTGCTGAATCCACTTCATTTTCTGTTATCCTAACGAAAGAGTCAGGCGAATTCGCAGTCCCAGATAGTGGTTCGATACCACAAAACAGCATAACAATATGTGTGGAAGGAAAACGAAAAATACAGCTGAAAATATATGAAATACAGTTACCCATCGATAAAGATGCTTGCTCATTCATCGATATTATTTACTGATACAATATTTTCAGTATATCGTTCTAACGGCTAACATTATCAATAAAGAGATTCTGATACTTTATTGGTGAATGCATACATACATACATTTTGGATGATTCGCTTAATTAAACCTTCCAATCAATTTTATGCTAATTATCGCCAGAATGCTTCCATCCTATCAGCCAATCTTTCCCACATTCCTAAGACGTTTACCAGAAACATTCAAACTAAAGGTTCATGCGACCGGATTCATGACTACTTTATCCATCAAATATCTTACTTCCTGTGTTTCCAATAAAAAATAAGCGGCCAACAAACTACATAAACTACAGAATCATATAAAACAACGAATTCTCATCTCAGTGACTGCTGCAAAAAATTAAAAGTTAAAATACAGGAAAGAAGTACAGATGTTTGTGTTTGTGATATATATATTTGTATGTATGTATGTATGTGTGTGTAAATGTATTTGTGTATGTGTGCATCTATCTATCTGTTCGCTTTTAGCAATGTGTATGATGTAAGAATAAGGTGTAATAATGAGCTGCACCATTATTGTAAACACTGCCTTTAGATCAGTGTTTCGCTCAACAATCCCTAAAAATTATCGAACATTAAGCAACTTTCAATTTCAATTTTTCATCCGTCACCCGTTATACTTTTCCTCATCATCATCATCCACTCTCGTTTTTACTCGCTTTCAATCCTTACCTCACCCGTTTACAAATAGGTAGATTTTAAACCTGAACAGCCTAATAATTGAACAACGACCAAACAACGACTTCGAATTTCACCAACAAATTATTTCACTTTTCTCCCTAGGTTTTTACTGATGAATTTATCCAGATCTAAACTTTAAGAAAACTGGACGGGAATTTCTTTTACAAGAATTTTGTAAAAGAATACATTCATTTTGCATTGAAAAGAAATATTGTAGCTACGGTTAGAAGACAGCTATTCGTATAACAAATGTCAGATGGATATAAGGTGCGCTAGTTATTTGAAAACTACAGAAATTTTTAACAAGTTCAATATCACTGTAGGATTTCTTTTTGCACCAAAATAAGAGACTATAAAAAAAACATCTTTAAAACCAGGATTTTTTATAATTTCCCAGTTGTTAAGGTAAGGAGGAAATTTTCATTAGAGAAAAACACCTAAGTTCATAAAGTTTTCTAATGATTCCGGAATCTTTCAGTCAATAAAACTGCGCGATGATCGTTGAACACAGTGATCCACGACACTCGTCCTAATTAAAACATTTTACTTGGTTCTACTAGCATGCAACACCTACATTTAATGGAACCTGTAACTGCAGTATATCCAATCATCCAATGCATATTTCGAAGATTTTATGAAAAATTTATGAAGAACCCAACAAGGAGATTCCCTAATCAGCATTGTCGATAAGATTTCGTTTATTCATAAAACGACAGCTCTTTACCGTTCTGGTCTAAGCAATTTGAATTAAACCTAATATCTGCGAAATCTACAAAATTTGTTGGTTTATTATGTCAAAAAAATTTAATTTTTTGAGCGAAAACTTCCATTTTGAAAAACCACAATACCAAACACCAACGCAATATATAAATCCTATTGATCAAAAACCTGCTGAATCACATGCAACATCACTCAGAGGAGTAACATATAACTTTATCCAGTATTGTAGCAATCAACAGCGGATGCATTACACTGAATGTTTAGATAGCTTTCCTACTATTACTGTTGCTGATAAATCAATACAAACCTAAACGGAATACTTTGAGTCCGCTCAGATCGTCCATACATAATTTCATTGACGAGCACTCCGTTTTTTCCATTTACTTTGATATTCCATCTATTCGGTTGACCAGTATAATACAGAATGACGTGACACCTGCTTATGTAGTTGCTTTCCTGAAATAATGCTACTTTTTCTTTGGAAAAACTACTAAAGCTTATTTTACTTAAGAATACCAATTAGAATCTTGAGAAAGACCGAAAGATATTAACTATCGTCTGACTTAAAGGTTAAATTTTAAAATTTTCTTCCGGATTTCTGAATCCATTCCAAATAAAGTACCCTTTAGCATGCAACCGGTACAACACTACCAATCCTCATATAATATTGTACTACAAAGAGAATTTAGGATTTGCATAAACTATAATTTTCAATTTACAAGACGATAATCCGATGAGCTTTTCCTGTGACGAGTTGACAGAAGGAAGAGAACTTTGAAAACGACCTGGACGACAACATCTGTAATCGAATTTGCAGAGTCTCGGCCAATAACCACCACCTTCTTTGAAACAGCGAATGTTCCGCTGGGACTCCGAATAAATGCCAACGGATAAAAGGAAGGTTCACCAATCCATTCAACCTAAAGATGGATTTGCATTTCAAATTTCAAATTATCTATAACTTTGTACACTTCGTGCATGTATTTTGAAAAAAAGAGGATTTCAAATCAAAACAAAAAAAAGAGCCTTCTCAGAATTGTCCTCCATTTTCTTCAGCATAAGCAATCCACCGGACAAGTTGTTTGCGTGAATTTCTAATAGTTCTCTTACCGAAGGCACTCTCGCTCTGAAAACAGCCACATTGAGACGATGTGTAACTTTTTACAAGCGAAGCATAAAAATTTCATTGGAAATCCTATACAAAATTTAAAATAATTCCGATTTCTGCGATGGACAATTGAAAGTCAACTTCGAAATAATATTGGGAAATATATTATGGATTTTGCACACCTTTTCCTTTAAATTTCAGCAATTTATTAAAAAAAATAAGCCATAATTTCAAAAAGAACAATTCTAATCATGTGAAAAAGGTCAGTACTAATTGATCAGAACATAGATTTACACTGTACCAAACTTCACTTTGTGAAAATAAGTTTGTCTGCAAGACTACACAATGATGTTCTTAAAAATCACGTTAGTATTCCACTGTTTTAAATGTAACAGTATGAAAAAGGGGAATAATGAAACGGTGCGACTGCGTAATAACCCGACTCTGTGGCAACCAAACATCTGGTAAATATACCGAATTTTTCGACAATAATTACTGATAATAGTAATAAATAATGGCGATAGTAATGATAATTAGCAATAGTCTGAAAAAATAATTAGTGATAAACGACAGCGATAATAATTAGGAACAGTAAATATTACTGATAACAATAACAATAACAGTAGTAATAATGGTTAACAATAACAACAGCAATTAAAAACAATAACAATTAACGTCAATAAAAATAACAACAAGAATAATCAACACCAATAAATAACGATGGCAATTATTATTAACAATAATAGTAATTAAAAGCAAAATTAATAGCAAGTAATACTCAAAATAACCGATACCAGCCGGCGATGATAATTCACGATAACCACTGATTATCACCACTAATTAGTTAATGACAATAGACAATGAAAGTGATCAGTATTCATTAGTAGTTAATAGTAACTGTAATTAGTAATGGCAATTATTATTATTACCATTATTACTACTACTGTCATTATTGTTATCATTAACATTATTATTATTGTTATTATTGAAGGTAATCAACAGTAGTCATTGGCGGTAATTTAATAACAAAAATAATAACTAATGATGACAATAATAACAATAACAATGGTGATAATAACAATAATAGCAACAATAATGGCATTGATAATAACGGTAATAATAATAGTAGCAATAATAATAATAACAGCAATAATAATAATGATAAT